TATAATATATACTTTAGAAGTGAACAAAGTTAACTATAACTTAGATCGATTTCAGTTTTTATCTCTTATTTTGATTGCTGTTATTTAAGCATTATTGTAAGTTGATTTTGTGATCATGCTAAATTAACAAAAGCATTTTGGAAAGTCAGAAGCATAGCATGAGTTTTGTCTAGTTTTGATTTGTTTTTTGCATATTGTTTCTTCTAGAACACTTGCATCTACCACTGTCAATTCTGCTTCTGTATGTCACTTTGTCCACAAGACTTTAAGATACCTTCCCAAAATTCAGCCTGTCCACACCATGGGTAGAATGTGTTCAGCATTCTTCTTATATTGCTATAAAATAAAATGCTGAAGAAAAAGCTTTAAATAGAGCTTCAACAACATTAACAGAAAAGAGTTGAGTGATACTTGGGCAGTTAACAAACTGAAATCTTGTGAAAGACTTACTTCAGGCCCATCCTGGTTGGCCTAGGAAAGGCATGGTAAACCTAGGATGAACTGAATTTGAATTTGTGATTTTTGCACTTTTCTTTTTTCTTTCTTTCTTCCTTCCTTTTTATTTTATTTTATTTTTTTTTTTTTTTTTTTTTTTTTTTTGGAGACAGGGTCTCATTCTGTCGCCCAGGCTGGAGTGCAGTGACACAATCTCAGCTCACTGCAACCTCCTCCCAGGCTCAAGCTGTTTTACCTCAACCTCCCAAGTAGCTGAGACTATAGGCATATGCCACCATACTCGACTGTCTTACTTTTTAAGAGATAGGATCTCGCAGTCACCCAGGTTGGAATACAGTGGCATGATCATAGCTCACTGCGGCCTCAAACTGCATTCAAGTGATCCTCCTGCCTCAGCAGCATGCACCACCATGCCCAGCTAATTTTTTTTGTTTTTTGTTGAGACTGTGGTCTTGCTATTTTGCCCAGGCTGGTCTCAAACTTCTGGCCTCAAGCAATCCTCCTACCTCGGCCTCCCAAAGTTCTGGGATTACAGGCATGAACCACTGCACCCAGCCTGCATTCATTATATATAGTTATATAAACTTCCCAGAACATAGAACATAATTGATATTCCTCTGTACACAGACTAATATGAGTTAAGATATGATTACCAGTTTGCTATCTTCCAAAGGAAAATTCCCCAAAACAAACGCATTAAAAAATATCCATTGTTTTGGAAATGCTCATGATAGTTGAAGTCCTGACTGTGTGAAAATGAGTTTAAAACACAATCATGCACTGCATAATGACGTTTGGGTCAACAGCAGACCACACATATGATAGTGCTCCCATAAGATTATAATACCATGTTTTTACTGTACCTTTTCTTTTTAAATATATTTAAGTACACAGATACCATTGTGTTGTACCTGTCTACTGTATTCAGTACAGTAACATGCTATACAGGTTTGTAGCCTGGCGTCAGTGAGCTATATTAAATAACCTAGGTGTGTAATAAGCTATACCATCTAGGTTTTTGTAAAATATATTCTATGATGCTCACACAATGATGAAATCACCTAATGACACATTTCTCAGAACATATCCCCATCATTAAGCAACACATGACTGTAATTGCCAATTGTTCTAATACAAATGAAGACATAATGTTAAAGTGTTGACATAACATGTTCTGCACAATGAGAAATCACAGTTTTCATGGGGTCTGGTCTTTCTTACATATAGAGTTTTACATGTATAGTTCTAGTAGCTCTTATATTTTAGAGAAGATTCTAGAACTTTAAAGATTAGAAATCATATTTTTATAAAGTTGTATTTGAAAAAAGAAAAAAAAAAAACTCCTTTAAGAAGAGCAAGTATTAGCCAAGCGTGGTGTCTCACACCTGTAATACCAGCACTTTGGAAGGCTGAGGTGGGTGGATCACTTGAGCCCAGGAGTTCAAGACCAGCCTGGGCAACATGGCAAAACCCCATCTCTACAAAACAATATAAAAATTAGCTGGGCATGTTGGTGCATGTGTGTAGTCCCAACTACCAGGAGGCTGAGGTGGGAGGATCACTTGAGCCTGGGATGTCAAGGCTTCAGTGAGCCAAGATAGCACTACTGCACTCCAGCCTGGGCAACAGAATGAAACGCTGTCTCCCCACAACCTCCCCCCTAAAAAAAAAGAGGAGCAAGTATCTCTTTTAAAATATTTCAGTTGCATAAAGTGAGAATTCCGCTCATTTAATCTTGTCCCCCTAAGGAAACCATTGATAACATTTTGGTATGTCGCAGTTGTCTATCCATTTATCTTCATATGTACATTTATATATGTATTTTTAACAATGATTTGAACCTGTTACCTAGTTTTAATTTGGTTTGGTTTGGTTGTTATTTGTGTGAGATGGTATTCCAAAATTCCTTAACTTTTTAAAACCTTATTTAATAGAGATAAAATTAACTTAATTGAAAGAGAAGAATTATAGGTAAATTGAAGAACTATGCTTACTAAATCTTAATGTATAAAAGTATTGGTATCCTTTTTATTGTTCATGTCTAGATGTTGATTTTTATAGCCATGCAGTGGTGTACAGGTGTTTCAGATGTTTCATTTTATGCTGTCCAGTACAGTAGCCACTTGCCACATGTGGCTGTTTAGCACTTGAAGTGTGGCTAGTCCAAATTGAGATGTGCTGTAAGTATAAAATACACACTGGATTTCAAAGACTTTATACAAAAGAAACAATGTGAAATATCTCATTAATAACTATATATGTTGATTACATGTTAAAATCATAATATTTTAGATAGACTGAATTAAATAAAATATCACATTTAGTTTCACTTGTTTCCTTTTTATTTTCTTTTTGAAATGTGGCTACTAGAAAATTTTAAATTATAGATGAAATTTATATTTGTGACCCACTGTTGGACAGTGTTGGTCTAGATCCATCTATATGTCTGTATACTTATGTTTTAGAAACATCACTGTCTTCCCAACAGAAAAGAATAACTTTCAGCCATAACCTCTGATTTTATTTTCTTAACATTTCAAATGCTGTTTTTCAACATCATCTTTTGATTCTTTTTTTTTTGTTTCCAGTACAGTGGTACTTTAAACTACCTCTCCCTTTGATAGCAGTAAGTCTCCTAGGAATTTAAATATGCCTCAGTGAAAGCAATACTTGAGCCTCATTTATATGTTCAAGTTAGATCATTATTCCTAATAATGGCTTTAAGTGCTTAGATAGATCAGCACTCCGTGTCTTGAATTGCTTGTCATTTCTTCATAAAGATGTTTCAAGTAATTGCTCCATGTGATCCCTTCTTTCATTATTTTATGGCAAAAAGTAACATAATCCTTTATTAGTTTGTTGGAAGTCAGAAAAAAAGGTTCTTTTTTTATTAGCAAAAACAAAATGTATTTCCAGGTACTAAGAATAAAGAACAAAATTAGTCATGAGGGATAGTCCTGCGAAAGTTAATTTTTAAAATACATCATGAATGCACTGTCAGTCTGCCAGTGGCCTTAACCTCTATTTTATTTTCCCATTATACTTGGGTCCAGGTTGTCATCAGCTACCATGAGAAAACCTATGTAATTCCTAGAGAGAGAAAAAGTTGCACTGTTAGACTTAATAGTATGGTAGTCATGGAAGCATCAGTTATCTTCATCAAGGCAATTCAGATTTGATTATTGTAGAACTGTGTTGAATACCAAACCAGTGGAGTAGTAGCTGGAGCTAAATCAAGGGATTGTCATTTTTGTCAGATGATTAGGGCTGGCTTGGAAGAGATATGAAAGGGTTGAGCTGTGTAAATATTCTCTTTTCAGCAGAAAAAGAAAAGGTCCATCATGGCCATTAAATGCGGCTTGTTAGCTTGATGAATTTCAAACTATTTAACCTTAGCAATTATATCCCCCCGCAACTCCCCCGTGCCTGCGTGCAAGTGTATCAGTGTCTTGGAATTATGTCTCCAAGGATTGATATCTAAGCATATTGGTAATTTTCTATTGAGATAATATGCAGCTTTTCCATGTCCACATACGTATCTCAAAGGAAATGCATGCCTTTGTTCAAAAACCCAATTATTAACTTGAATTATATGCCCAGGTAAACATGAGAACGCATTTATTTATAAGGTTTTAAAAACTTTTTATGGTAAATATATGTAATTTAACATTTTAGAGATTATGGTATTCATTTAAATTATGCTGTAAACATGATTAGTTTTTGTAAAGCAGAAGTATATTTGTTTAATTTTCACTTGCCTGTGAGGGACTTGATACATTTAAATAATAGATATGTTTAAATAATAGCAACACATTTAAACAGACACAGTGGACCTAATGATTCAAGGACATTTCTGCAATGTTTATAAATAATGCTGCATTCTAGAAAGGGCAGTGTTTTTGCTGCTTTTATGAAAATGTACATCGATCATTTGCTTTTGTATTGTAATGGTTATCCTGGTAATATTTGTACTATCTGGCATATTTGCATTTATTAAACTCATAAATAAGGATAGAGGACATAGAAACTGCTAACTTGAAAAGAATTGCTGAATTCTGAAATAACTCATTTTGGAACAAGAAAGTCTCAGTGTGCCATCTAGTGGACACATTTAGCATTCTGGTCATAAAAAACTAATGATTTTCTCTTCCCCCGAAATGCAGTTACCTTGACACCTTGTGTCTTTCGGTCCCTTGGCATAGTTTGTGGTTGTGTTACATCTCATATAGTTTTTAGATTTTATTATAATTTTATTCATCATATTTTTTGGAAAGTTACATTTGAAAGTTTTATTTTGAAGTCATCAGAAATCTAATGATGAATAAATCTATGTTAACTATGAGAGAGGAAAAAACAATTTTTATGTTTAATCAGAACTAAGGAATAATTTAATGAAAGCAAAACCCAATCACACTAAATTATTAGACTTTGTATTATACATATTCTTTTCTGAAGGAATATTAAAATGATCATTGCTGTCCTCTTATATGTTAATGGATTAAATCATTTAACTAGCTTTTTAAAAATGTATTTTTTTGTTTTAGAGAAATCCAAGACCAGTGACTTACCAATTCCATCCAAATTTAGATTATTACAAAGCACGAGGAGCCGACCTCATGAATAAAAGCCGGTAAGTCCCCTTTTTCTGGTGATAGTTACAAATCACAAGGGTAGTCTCAGAGATCATCAGGAACTTTTCCACATTGCTGAAAACAATTTTCCAGATTTTAGCGTATCAATGGCTAATGTACATAAGGAATCTTTGTTAAATAAATTACCCAAGTTATTTTAAAGGCATAAGAAAATGCTATATATTGACATCAATGGTAAGGTGAAAAATAAATATAAGAGTACTTGTTACAATTTGAAGTTAGGCAACTTCATTTTTCTAACATGAATAAACTTGCATAAATTGTGCCTACTTGTATAATCTCTTTCTAGATTTTTGCTGTTGATTGAAAAGAGGCAGCTTTATAATATATTTTTAAATTATTTCAGTAACAAAATTAAAAATGTGTTTCCCAACTGTCTTTAGAACTACACAATAAGCTTATAAATGCATCTTGTGTGTACGTTTGTGATTGCATACATAGAAATTTTAAGGGTCACTGTAGGAATAAAAAACATTAAAATCCTACTTTTCAAAGAAATTAACATTGGCAGAAAGGGTTGATGAACGGTTTTGTTCTTTCGTAATACTACATTGAGATGTCTCAAGAGTCAACTTGTCAAACCAGAACCATTTCAAATTAGAATGTAATTTCAGAGTTTACTCTGGAAGACTAAAATGTTAGTAATGATAAATGCTGCCAAGTTGTCCGAATTTTCTTCCTCAAGCATTTTGCCTATGTGTTAGCTTTTCTTCAGTAGAATTCCAACAGCCTAAATATACATTTATGGAATACATATACACAATGTGTTCTGCTGTTACTGGAGAGTTAAAAATAAGTTATAATTCCTGCTGCATAGGAACTCATATCCTAAGGGATAAGAAGAAGTTTACAACAAAATGGCTAAATTTAAACTTGAAATTTGAACCTTGTCTTAGTGTAATGTTGTTATAAAATTAGCAATCTCTGATTGAAATCTGTTTGCCCCATATATTGATGTACCATGCAATTATGAGACCACTTCTGTAGCCCATGAGACTTGTCTGAAGCTCTTTTCTGTTTGTTCATTTCATCTGAGTCTTGTTACACAAATAAAAATGTATTCGCTATAGTCAGTTGATCATTCAACACAATGCCAGATTGGTTATTTTAAACACATGAAATGCCCAGTAAAAACCCAGACCAAAATCCCTGCCTTCAGTAGTCTTACACCCTAGTCAATTATATTTCTTCCCATTATGTCAAATATTTAGTTTTGTTATGTTTAAAAGAATAAAGTATGTTAGTCTTTTTCTTTATACAAGACCTTTTTAGCTGGAATCCTTTGTCTTCCTCTCCCTCCCAACCCCCACAAGATTATTTTTTACACAACAGCCAAGTAAATGTCAATTTATAACAGGTTATATCATACCTCCACGTAAACATCTCCAAAGGCTTCCTATTGCCACTGGCAATCAAGTCTTCTTCCTGAAGCCCTTTCCCATCTCTTTGACCTTATCTCCTTCCACTCTCTCCTCTTCGCTCTCATGCTACAGCCACATCAGCCTTCTCTGTTTCTTGCCCTTGCTTAGGACCTTGGCACCTAACTCTTCCCTCCTGCTAGAGCTCTTCTGCCACCCCCATCTTCCCATTCCTGTTCATGATTTAAAGCTCAGCCTAAATGTCATCTCAGAGAGGCCACTCTTAACCTCCTTGCCTGTCTTCACCTCCCCTATTCACTCTATCCCATCATCATGAACTGAAGTTATATAATTCATTTGTGTATTTATAATCTGTCTCCCCAACTTCTCCACTAAAATCTAAGCCCCTGAGGGCAGGCATTTTGTCTTACTCACCACTTCATGGCACCTAGGACAATGATGACTGGTATAGGGAAGGCACTCAACACATATTTGTTATATGAATTTTTTGAAATATTTCCAACACCTTTTTCTCCACCACCGCAAAATGTATTGTACCCATTCTTTTCTCCCCTTCTTGATTTTCTTCTCTTTAACCTTCTCTCCCCACATTTTTCTTGCACAAAATGTTGGTTTTGTTTTATATATTTCCTTGTAAACATAGTAAGATTCTTGTGCAAAGTATCTCTTGAAGATTGGAAGGAAGACTTTTTGTCGTCCTTTTGCAATTGCAAAGCTTAACATTGAAATTGAACTAAATAAAATGTAGTAATTGAAGCAGACGTCACAGCTCAGTAAGCAAGGAAATAGTTAATAGACGGTGCTGGGAAAACTGGCAAATCTTTGAAAAAGTATCAGCCACACACAAAAATAAATTCCAAAGTGCACTGAAACAAGCAAACATAAAAATAAAAATGCAAGTGCCTATCTGACTGATAGTTACCTGAAGACTTTTAAATCTTATTTTTAATTTTTTTTATTTTTTTATTTTTTGAGATGGAGTCTTACTCTGTGGCCCAGGCTGGAGTGCAGTGGCGCAATCTCAGCTCACCATAAGCTCGCCTTCTGGGTTCACGCCATTCTCCTGCCTCAGCCTCCGGAGTAGCTGGGACTACAGGCGCCCGCCACCACGCCCAGCTAATTTTTTGTATTTTTTTTAGTAGAGATGGGGTTTCACCGTGTTAGCCAGGATGGTCTCCATCTCCTGACCTCATGATCTGCCTGCCTCGGCCTCCCAAAGTGCTGGGATTGTAGGTGTGAGCCACCGCGCCCGAAATCTTATTTTTAAATTTTTAATTGACAAATAATAGTGTGAAGACTTTTTTTTTTTTTTTTTGAGACGGAGTCTTGCTCTGTCGCCCAGGCTGGAGTGCAGTGGCCGGATCTCAGCTCACTGCAAGCTCCGCCTCCCAGGTTTACGCCATTCTGCCTCAGCCTCCTGAGTAGCTGGGACTACAGGCGCCCGCCACCTCGCCTGGCTAGTTTTTTGTATTTTTTAGTAGAGACGGGGTTTCACCGGGTTAGCCAGGATGATTTCGATCTCCTTACCTCGTGATCGGCCCGTCTAGGCCTCCCAAAGTGCTGGGATTACAGGCTTGAGCCACCGCGCCCAGCCTGTGAAGACTTTTTAGCCTTAAAAGTAATGGAGAAAATCACAAAGGAACAACTAATGGATTTTACTATGCAACATATATTTTAAAGTAGATAGGTCAAAAATAAAGTGAATCAAAAGACAAATCAAAAATTAGGAAAATATTTGTAGTGGATGTAACTGACAAAATATAGTATCATTAATGTATGAAGAATTTAGGCAGTTCAATAAGAAACACAAGATCTGGCCGGGTGCAGAGGCTCACGCCTGTAATCCCAACACCTTGGGAAGCCAAGGCGGGCGGATCACAAAGTCAGGAGATCGAGACCATTCTGGCCAACATGGTGAAACCCCGTCTCTACTAAAAATATAAAAAATTAGCCAGGAGTGGTGGCACGTGTCTGTAGTCCCAGCTACTCAGAAGACTGAGGCAGGAGAAACGCTTCAACCCAGGAGGCGGAGCTTCCAGTGAGCGGAGATCGCGCCACTGCACTCCAACCTGGGTGACAGAGAGAGACTTCATCTCCAAAAAAGTAACACAAGATCCTTTCTCAGTGGCCATTCCATCTCTTGCCATGGTCTGCTGAATCCTCTTCTTCCTCCAAATATTAAAACAGCCCCAACACCACACTTCTTTTCTTCTCTATACTCATTCCTTTGAGGATTTCAACTCAGTTCATGGCCTTACAGACCATCATCTGTGGCTGATGGGTCCTTAATTTATGTCTTCGGTTTTACCCATCCCTTGCTACTTAATAAATATTTTCTCTTGGATGTCCTATATGCAGCTTAAATTTAGTATTTTTCAAACAGAACTGTTGATTCTATTCCCACACTCACATGCCTGTCACGCCCACAGTGTTTCTCACAAATAAATACCAAACTTATTTCTCTTTGACTCCAACCTTTTTCCTTTCTTGGCCTTAATCTGGAATGAGTGTAACAGCTTTTTCTTCTAGTAAATCATCAAACCTAATTGGTAGTCTTGGGAACCCCCCATGGTAAAGACAAAGGGTAGGCAAAGATTTCTTATACATGAAACAAAAAGCACTAGAAAAGATAGATAAAATGAACTTAAGGTTATTTGTTCATCAAAATATGCCATTAAGAAAAAGAACAGGCAAGTCACATACTTGGGGATAATATTTTTAATACATATATCCCAAATATATAAAGAATTTTTGTATGTCAGGAAAAATATAACTTGGGCAAAATACTTGAACAGCCTCTTCACAAAAGAAGATATAAAAATCATCAATATGCTATGAAAAGATGTTCAACATTAGTCATCAGGAAAATGCAGATTAAACCACAATGAGATAACATTTCACACCAACTATAATGGATAAAATAAAATAAAAAATAGACAGTAGCAAATGTTGGCAAGGATGTGGAACGATTTCAAACCAACTGTAATGGATAAAATAAAATAAAAAATTGACAGTAGTAAATGTTGGCAAGGATGTGGAGCAATTAGAACCCTCGTATATTCCTGATGTGAGTAGAAAAGGTATAACTACTTTGTAAAATAGTTTGGTAATATCTTATGAAGTTAAACATATATCCTATAATATAGCAGTTTAATTTCTAAGGGTGTATCTGAGGGAAATAAAAACACATATCCAAAAGCCATAACAAACAGCATCAAAACAGAATGTTCACAGCAGCCTTATTCATAATACCCCAAAGCTGGAAATAACCCAATCTCTGTCAACAAGAGACCAGATAAACAATTTGTGGTACATTCAAATAATGGAATACTACTCAGCTATAAAGGAATGAACTAGAGTTGTCCCTGGGGGAATAGGTTCCAGGACCACCTGCATATACCCAAATCCATGCGTACTCAAGTCTCATAGTCGGCTCTCTCATATAGAAACCTGCGTATATGAAAAGTCAGCCTTCTATATACATGAATTTCACATCCCTCTCTCTGCATTTGGTTGAAAAAAATCTGCATGTAAGTGTTCCCGTGCAATTCCAACCTGTGTTGTTCAAGGGTTAAGTATACTACTATATGCAATAACAT